ATTGTGATGGGATACATTAATTAGAGACATTTTCTTTGAATTATTTGTATTCAATTATTTATCCATGTCTCGAAGTGCAATGTTCAGAATTATATTTGCCAGTTGTAACTTTATTTAGATTTTCTGTTATTTTGCTATGTTTTTAATTGAAATATATTTTGATACAAACTCTTTCCATTTTTCTTGCCTTTGTGTTTCAAGTTACTGATTTTTAAAAAAAAGATTTTTTTTTTATTGCATACATTTGACAGAAATATATGCCCTACACCTCTGTATGAAACATATTGATTGCTTAGTTATTAAAATATTTATAAACGTTTAATGGCATTAATATGTATCATACTTTTACATCAATGGTAGCATTATATGTTTTATATGTTATTACGCTTCAATCATGTTATGTCAGTAGAAATCTGGAACTTGAAGATATTAATAGAAGCCAAAGTCAGTAAAATAAATACAACTGATCAATTGTATTTATATTTTTATTTAAATGTTTAAAACCTCTACCAAAGTTTTTTTTTACAAATTTTGCCTCTATGGTGGGGATCATAGGTTTTCCTTATATGTGTAGTAAAAACTGAAACATCTTCTCTGAAATGCAAAAGGCTAGAGGTAAGATATTTGACATGAAACATTGTGTAGTGGACCTCTACCAAGTTTGTTAAAATTATAGCCCTTGGGTAAAATTTTGATAGAATAAAATGGATAGATTTAATAGATTAAAACCATTTCGATATACAGTAAAATCTTAAATACTATTCTCTGAAATAACAATGGCTAGAGCTAAAATATTTGGCCTGAAACATTGTCTAGTGGACCTCTATCAAAGTTGTTCAAATTATGCATCTAGTTCTGGGAGGTCATAGATTTTACTTCCATGTATATAGTTAAAACTTTAAAGTCCCTCTCTGAAATGAAAAAGGCTAGGCATGAAACATTGTGTAGTGGACCTCTACCAAGTTCAAATTATAGCCCTGGGCTCAAAATTGGACCGGCCCAGGGAGTCATAGATTTTCATTTGTACATATAGTGAAATCTAGTATTTTTGACATATATTAAAGAAAAACTAAAAAATGTTTTTCTGAAACAAAGAAAGCTAGAGCCTACATATTTGACATGAAACATTGTCTGGTGGACCTGTATCAAGATTGTTTAATTTACAGCCTTTGGGTCAAAATTAGTCCTGCCCAGGGGACACAGTGACCTATGTTTTTGTTGTATGGAATTTGGACCATGTGCACAGTTTCAGACGCAAAATTGATATGATCTAGTCAAGATTTTGATAAAGTGATCAGCTTTCTTGTTCTCTGGTGTTCAACTATAAAATTTGAACCATGTGCACAGTTTTAGGTGTAAAATTGAACTTTAGTATCAGCTTACCTAGATTTTGATGAAGTGATCTACTTTCTTGATCTTTGATGTACAGCAATGAAATTTGAACCATGAGCACAGTTATAGGTGTACAACTCAAATGTAATATCTGGTGATAAATATTGACCTACTTTCTTGTTTTTGATATACAGCTTCTACATTATTACCATAAAGTATGTATGGTCTAGTGACCAACATCATTTAAATTTGTAATAAACACCATCTTTCACATACTGACTGAAAAGTGGACATCAAATATTTTCTGTACTTTTCAAATGGATTCTTTTTTACTTGAAATAGTTAATTACTGTTACTACCTCACAAAATGAGAGTATTTTCTGACCAGACTTTCAGGACAGGGAAATAAGTTTGCAACAATGAAAAGTCTGCATTTGTTAGCTTAGATCTACCTACTGTGTACTTGCACACAACACTTTCAGGATATTATTTTAGAATCAAAATGGTCATGACATCTCTGAATTGTTAACTATTTCAGCTCACCTGAGAACAGTGCTAATAGGCGACTTTGCTGATGGCATGTTGTCCATCATTTGTCATATTCCACAATTTCTTTAAACAATACCTGTAAAATGATGAATTTGACCAAACTTTGCAGGAATCACCCTTTGTTGACCCTATGAAACGTTGTATAGAATGCATCCTGTCTTATGCACAAGTAACTTAAGGAATTTTGTTGATTTTTCTGGATTTTAGCACGTCTTTCATCATATCTTCGTGGTTAATTAACCTTACTGGTTTACCTGGATAACTAACCAGTAATCACCAATTTTTCCAGAAGTGGGAGACACAAGACCATTTAACACTATGTCCGAGATCAATTATCAGAGAAATTGCAAGTCGCCCAAGAATAGAACCAACAGCCCCTGTTTTACTTATTCGTTAAATTTTCACCACATAAAAAAGTACAAAATTCTGCAAAAAAGCTTAACAGACTTACCTATCCTTATTAGTCAACAAATTTTTCAAATATAAAGTGAAAACTTTTAACACTTTTTGAGAAAAAGGCAACTATTCCAAGTAAAAAAAGGAAAATAACCAAGCATAATAGACCATTCTTAATATTATACAGCTATTTTTAGAACATGAACCAGAACGAGGCATAACTGGCAAGCTGATAAGCCAGTATAGCTGTGTATACAATGAAATCCACTTATCTTTGGTTCCTAAAATTAATTTCTCATTTGTAGAGTTATATATTTATCAAGACAAAGTTAATCCCTCTATAAATAATTCAATTATATTTATGAGGTATCCATTTATGGTTAAAGAGGTGAGTAAGAGAAGAGATTTTTTTTTACTTTCGGTTTCAATTTTGCTGCCATAAAGATATTTCCTAACATAATATAAGGTTTATAGATATAAATCTGTAGTGTCTTGTATTATATAATCTTTGTTGTTCTGTTATTTATGGATTCTTGATGCCAACATAAAGGTAATTGCAAAATTGAATCTTACAGATAAGCCCCTAATGACCTGTGGTAAATCTTTATCAGATGTGTATTGGGTGGATTATATCAAACATTTATTGACTCAGTTATATAGACCGTTTACTATAGTTTTTGCCTAGCCAAATTCTATGTATACATGTAATTTATGAATTTTTAATTTGTACTTCCAATACTACCATTGCGCAATAATAATTAAGGGAAATGCCATAGATTACAGAGAAAGAATGAATTTTCTTATTTATTTCAAAATTTTAATAAAGACTAAACTTTGATACTTCCTAATATTATATTGTTTTTATTATCCTTTTTTATTGAATACCAATTTATATATACATATAAAATCATCACATCATCACCAGTTTCAAAAAGTTCAATTAGATCTCAACATCTGACATGCATCCATGTAACAATGACACAAATGCGAACGTGTGCATGTTCCTTTGTAATTTCAATACAAACTCAGCTGAGTTGCAGGGTCTTTACATCTTTTTGGTCTCCTCCAGTTCAAGCCTTATGAAGCATTTAAATATATATTTTTCTTCCTGTGTTTCTGTAGACCCATAAGATGTAGATGGTTGGCAATTGATACTTGTTGCATTAACTTCTTCATCTTCATTATAAACAATGCTGAAAGATATATATTATAACAAACATATTATTTTATTCAATATCAGTGAGAATTTAAATGATTTTTTTTCTATATTAAAAGGCAAATACATTTATTAAACATAAATAAGCATTATATTATATGTATTTAAAATGAAATGATGAAGATGTGTGTTAAATCAGTGACTTTATCATAAAAAATTACCTATCAATGAGCATTTTCTTGGTGAAAGAATTTTTCATATAAGTGGCCTCTTAATTGGAGTTGTTTGTTTCAACCCAATTAATCACTGGTGGAATAGAACCATTTTTTAAGTGGAGTCCAGTTGTAATCCTCAGTTTAAAATGTTTGGAACACACCACAGTAGATTCAGTGACCCAAAATATACAACATATATATATTTATAATAAGGAATGACATGATAACTATTTAGTCAGCTTCAATCCTCTATTTGTAACATAAATTTGAACTTGATAATAATTTACAATTTACAAGTATAAATTGTTATAACTGTTAGATTAAAAGCAAGCAGTCCATTATTTTATTCTAAATATACAAAATCTGTATTTTTTACAAAAAATATTATTCTGGTTTCATAAAGTGGTCAAAGGTTTACAAAATATTAATTTTAGGTGCTTACCTTTTACAATGACCCTTTATCCCTTCTTATCTTAGAAAGTTAGTCATCCATAATTTGTTGTTTTGTTTTTTTTAATCTTTATCCTTTAGAATATGGTAAATTATATTTACCATCAGAATAGCACATTGGCACACAAAAATGATATTAAGAACTTTTCTTTATTAACACCCAACATCGTGGCTATATAGTGAGATAAGAGTGGACAGTGTGTTTACATTCGTGCCATTTAAACCTCGTTCTGGTTCTGGAATTCCAGGTATGCATATAATTTGAGAAGGGTCTATGGCTTTCAGGAGTATCTGTTGCTTAGAAATGCATTTCAAATTTGATATTGAACAAGAAATTGCATGACGCCCAAGAATAGAATCAACAGCCCCTGTTTTACTTATCCAATGCTCTCCCTATTCTGCTAAGCTGGCAGACATCACAGGCACTATCAATTGACAAAAAAAAGAAACTTATAATAAAAATCTCCTCATTTGAAACTATAATGTTCATAGCTTAGATATTGGCTTGTAGCATCACTTGGTTGCCCACTACAAACATTATGCCACTATGGTCAGAGTTGGCCTCATTGAACACTATATAAATAATAAATGAGTTGCACCATGACAAAACCAACATAGTGTGTTTGCGACCAGCATGGATCCAGACCAGCCTGTGCATCCGCGCAGTCTATCAGGATCCTTGTTTTTCCATCTTTTTTACTTTAATAGGGTTTTAAAACCACAGGGGTCCTTTCAGACGCCAGATTGTCTGGACCCATGCTGACGCAAACGCACTATGTTGGTTTTGTCAAGGCGTGGCTCAAATGATATTATAAATTATACCTTTTGGTTTAAAATTGGCCCTGCTCTGGGCAACAGCTTTCTATTCAGTACTCTGCATTCGGACATATAAATAAGAAAACTTTATGAACTTTTCAAAACTATTTTAATGTTTTGCTCAGTTTAAGAGGGAAATTATATTGTGAATGAACAATGGCATTAGGGATATGTTAATAACAAAAATTAGAAATCATTTTCAAAGAAATATCATCAGTGTCATATGAAAATGTGAAATCTAAAAGAGGATTAAATAAATTGTCCAAACATGCTTTTGCTTAAAAAAAAATACATAGGATATATAATAGAGCTATAAACTTATAATAAAGATATAAACTAAAGTAATTTTGAAGAAATGCTGAAATTTTCAAATAGGCAACAAGCAAACATTTACAGTCAAACGTATCAATGTTTAATCATTATAACACTCCGATAATCTAAATAGATGCTGAAAAAAATGATTTTCTGATACTTTTTGACAAAACTGTTTTGATCCGTTACATACACGTATATGTCCCCCCCCACCCCAAGATTTTAAAACTTTATTTGCATACGCTAAAAACGGTTTGGGAAATAAAGCTTTTTTACATTTATATATTGCGTTTTGATTGTTGACACTTGTGAAATCAGGAGAAGGCGTTCTTTAAAACCACAAACACTTGACAGGTAAAAGTGGACACTTGATAGGTAAAAATGGATGCTTGATGAAAACATTGATCTCATTTTGCTGACTAATAAGCGATTGCTGGTCGCGTTGAGCAAAAGTTGCTTAACACATTAAAAGATATAGACAGAAAATGATTGGTGGGGAATAATAGTGGTTACAAAAAAAGACAGAAGTTGGTCACATGGGCATGTTAGACTGTATGTTTCAAATTAAAATTAGTTAGTAAAAAAACCATGTCTGTAACTTGAATGATGACTCTTTCCAGAATTTTGTCTATAAAAGTTAAACATGCTAGATTACCTGATGACAACTATTAATCCTCCTTTTGACCTTTCTATTTGGGTTTTTTTTAACTTTTGTAAACTATGGACTTCCTAATTTAAAAAAAAATCTGATACTCAGTATTTCAAATTAAAAAGCCAGATTGAAGCATATTAAAAGCAAAAGAAAAATTCTCAAAAATTAAAGAAACAAACAAATCATTAACAATTTAAGACAAATGATTAAGGTATGACAGCACATGTACAAATACAATATGGTAAGCTTTTACATTCATTCTCAACACTCTCATTCACTTCATTATCAGTTTCATTAATCATCATTTTTAAACCATACAAATACACAGAATAATGCTTTCAACTCAATCCTCAGATTTTGTTAATAAAACATCAGAATGTGCAAGAAAGTGCACAAAAGGGAACAATTAAACCTAGAGTTTGGAGCTGTTCTTTTTTTCCCCTAAACAACCTACAATTTATACAACCTTAAAAACAGTGTTGAGATTCAATTGAATACTTTGGTGGTTACAGAGATAGAACTGGCAGTCCAAACAATAGCTAAGAATGGGTTCTACAGTTAAATATCATGCAAAAAGTATGAAATCTTTGAAAGTGACCTACAATAAGATATCAAAGACAAAGTTCCTACAGTGATTAACAAGGATAGAAGATGCATGCAAAACCTTAACAAATGAGAGGATAACCAAACTTATGGTTGACATTTGCAAACGCCAGTTAGTAAGTAAGTAAGTATGGTTGACATATAAGTATGTGAAACCATGTAATTTCTATTAAAATTACTTTGTATTCATATATGAATATACATCATATCAATTCTGATCATTAATCTCGCACCAAAGAAGTTAATTCATAATACAAGTTCAACATCTTTAACCATTTCTATCACTGCATTCCATTATAAATACAATCTGCATCTTTGAGAATCACCTCAACTCTTTGATCATCATTTGAGCCGCGTCACGACAAAACCAACATAATGGGTTTGCGACCAGCATGGATCCAGACCAGCCTGCGCATCCATGCAGTCTGATCAGGATTCATGCTGTTTCGCTTACAAACCCTATTACAAGTAGAGAAACTGAAAGCGAACAGCATGGATCCTGATCAGCGCAGGCTGGTCTGGATCCATGCTGGTCGCAAACCCATTATGTTGGTTTTGTCGTGACGCGGCTCATTTATCATAAAACACTACATTTTTGCTGTAGTAATAAACTTTGTGTATGGAATATTCAAGCCATGCTCTGTCTTCTCTGCAAACAATCGTTCAAAATCTTAACAGTGAAATCCGCATAAGCAATGACCTCTTGTCCTGGCGTCTATTATTTAGTTTGTCTTGACAAAGTTCTTTAAAAAGCAATCCTGTACTTTATATCTGACCACAGCAGTAGTTTCTGTTATCTGTAGGGACAACCATTTGCCCAATGGCCACGCATACCTGAATTTGAGAGATTACAGGTTACAGTCAGTCTTATTTACAACTAAATCAACACAAGTTAACTTTAATAAAGAAAACATTGGCAACATCAAAATGTCACTGCAACTTAAGCATTTGCATTTATTTCTTGTGGTATATTGTAAATAATTAAAATAAATTTATTTTGATTATAAGGCCTCTAACCAACATCAAACCACTCAATCAATACTATAATTAAAATGGACATGTCCACAGACAGCATGCTCCACTATTCGTTAAATTTTAGCCACATAAAAAGGGGCACAATTCTGCAAAAATGCTTAACAGACTTACCTACCCTTATTTAGTCAACAAATATTCAAGTATAAAGTGAAAACCTTTAACACTTTTTGAGAAAAAGGCAAGTATTCCAAGTAAAAGAAGGAAAATAACTAAGCATAATGGCTTTCAGTAGTCTGTCGCTTAGAAATGCATTTCAAATTTGATATTGAACAAGTACTCTAAGTTTAAAGTGAATATCTTTGACACAATTTGAGAAATGTACCTTATTAAAATGGTTTACCAAGAAATTTAAGGCATAACTGAGCATAAACAAGAGCCGGTTGAACCGGGTGATGCTCCCCGAATAGGTTTTTGACACAGGAAGGTATACCTCTTAGAGTGTCAGAGTTATGTCACAGACAAAGTTCAAAGTGTAAAAACAACCCAAATGTTGCGCGCGACACATTGTCTAAATATGGTGATCATTTCTGTGAAATAGTTGTAAAATCCGACTTCAAATAACAAAGTTATGGCCCAAACACGATTTTCCTGCAAGGTCATGCTGTGACCTTGACCTTCAAGGTAGCCCCCCAAATATTGCACGCGAAACATCATCTCAATATAATGATCATTTCTGTGAAATAGTTTTAAAAAACGACTTCAAATTATGAAGTTATGGACCGGACACGATTTTGCTGCAAGGTCATGCCGTGACCTTGACCTTCAATATGGTGATCATTTCTGTCAAATAGTTGTAAAATCTGACTTCAAATATAAAGTCATGGACCGGACACGATTTTGCTGCAAGGTCATGCTGTGACCTTGACCTTCAAGGTAGCAACCTAAATGTTGTGCATGACACGTTGTCTCAATATGGTGATCATTTCTGTGAAATAGTTTTAAAATCCAACTTCAAATAACAAAGTTATGGACCGGACACGATTTTACTGCAAGGTGATGCTGTGACCTTGACCTTCAAGGTAGCGACCCAAATGTTGCGCGCGACACGTCGTCTCAATATGGTGATCATTTCTGTGAAATAATTTTAAAATCCGACTTCAAATATTGAAGTTATGGACCGGACACAACTTTGCTGCAAGGTCATGCTGCGACCTTGACCTTCAAGGTAGCGACCCAACTGTTGCACGCGACACGTTGTCTCAATATGGTGATTATTTCTGTGAAATTATTTTAAAATCCGACTCCAAATAACAATGTTATGGGCCGGACACGAATTCGGGACGTACGTACGGACGGACTGACGGACAACCTGACGACTATATGTTCCCACGAAATTTTTCGAGGAGCATAAATAAATTAAGGTTACCTGCTTCTTAGAAATGCATTCCAAGTAAAATATTTATCAAATATTCCTAGTTTGATAAACTTTTTAAACAATTTTTGAGACATTGACCTTAGGAAAATAAATTAAGTCAAATTGGGGCATGACGTTTTAAAAATGAACTCTACAAATATATGACGTTCGAAAATAGTGTTATATTTTGAAACAGCTTTTAAAGTTTCCAGGAAAATGAACATTAAAGTAAAGAATGACTGAGGTCAACATCAACAAAAGGGTTATGACAATAGGTTCAGTTTTATTATGACCAAAGTAAGTTACTGAAACTAAGAAAGTGTATTTGTCAAAACATACCACAGTTAAAACAATGCCCATATCCTCCAAAGTAAGCTCCGTCATCACCTTCCATATATCCCTCACTGTCAGAATCTGATAAGGAATTAAAATCATCATCATCATCAAGGCTGCTATCATCATCCTCTGATATTGTGATAGGTGGAGGTTCCGGCAGTGCGGGAGGAGCTGCCATCAACCCTCCTCTAGTTCTCCCTCGCCCTCGACCACCACGACCACGACCTCTAGCAGCAGCTGGCTTTGGTTTGTTGGCTTCATCAAATGCAGTTTCTTCCTCTATCAAACAAACAGTCATATGTATTATCTTGTCCAGAAATTTCATAAAATAGAAAGAATTCAATTATGTCATTGTCTTTGTGAAATATGAATGAATTAAAAAGGAATGTACAGCTCCATCATTTCACTATTTACTCACAATTTCCCTCACATGAAAGAAATAACAATAAAACACAAACAAGAGGACCAAGATGGCCCTTGATCGCTCACCTGACACATCGAACTCATCCGAACAATTACCTAGACAAGCATTCTGACCAAGTTTTATGACAGGTGAGTCAAAAATGTGACCACTAAAATGTTAACAAGGATTATCCATATTTGAGCAGTGTGACCTAGTTTTTGACCCCAGGTGACCCATATTCGAGCTTGACCTAGAAATCATCAAAACAAACTTTCAGACCAATTTCCAGGATATTTGGATCAAAACAGTAGCCACTAGAGTGTTAACAAGGTTTTTCTATTTTAAGCTCCTGTGACCTAATACATACATGCCATAATTTTTAGACTCATTTCAGGGCCACTTTTCATTTGGAGGTGGGGCATGATCAGCAAACGTATTTTTTTTAAAAATTTACATAGTGGCATACAACCTATATTATCGGTATTTACAACTTGCAAATTTAATGACACCATAAACCACAGGCGCTTGTCACATAATCAAATATTTTACATAATCGGTCTATATATGTATATAAAGATAGAAAAAGAGTTTGTTTATTAATTCTATGAGGAAATTTTAGATGTTTTCTATTTATTTCGTAGAAATCGACCAGAAATCGTGTTTGTATACATGAATAGATTGGACGTCGAAAACGACATGGATTGAAAATATTGGCATTTTCTGAAACTTTTACTCATTTCTTTGCTATTTGAAGAATTTTAATGAAATAAAAAGCTTTAACGCTTGGATTGATCCTTTCAGATGGCAACCAGAAAGAGATAACCGTGATCTGGTCGTTTCTTTCAGCACTGTTCTTGTTTGTTCCGCATGGTGTTTTTGTTTCGTTGGGGGCCTTATATCTTTATATACATATATAGACCGATTATGTAAAATATTTGATTATGTGACAAGCGCCTGTGCCATAAACAAAAGACAGAATGTTAATAATTATTAAGTTTTTCGATTTTTTTTTAAGTATTTAGGCATCGTTAATTCGATCAGTCACAGAATAGAATAAAGCTATGTTAAGTAATGACAATTAGCCATGTCATTTACCTGAAACATTCGCTGAATCTTGTAGATTTCATCACCTCATTTTTAGCTGTAATTTTCACGGTGTTTGACCACTAATACAGGGGTTGACACTAACTTTTAAGCCAGGAATCCCAACGGGACATCTGTTTTTGAATTCAAAAATCCCTTCCCCAAGTTGGAAGTCCCTGATTTTTTTTATATAATTATAAGAATTAAGCAATAACCTTTGTCTATCAGTATTGATATGCAACTTATGTTTATTGTTCTTTCGTTCTACTTTTTGGGATGTTGATCATTGCCCATCTGTGTTAACATAAGTAATTAAGGAACGAAATCCTCTTATGTTTCCTTCCAGCATTATTAGGTTTGGTAACAAAATCATACATGCAGTCCGAAGTGTTTATCATCAATTTTAGTAGGAGAACTGGTTGCCATTAAAATAACACTTCAAGCCCTACTTACTGAGATTGGAATATTTGAAATAAATAAGATAAAAATACTTAGTGATAGTCAGTCCGCTGTTGGAATTATTCATCTTGGCTGGGAAAATAAGACACACAAATTCCTGTCAACAGAGATACTCCAGTTGAGGAAAGAGCTTGAATTAGCAGATGTTACTGTTAATTTTGATTGGACTCCTGGTCATGCTGGCATAAAAGGGAATGACATTGCTGACAGACTTGCAAAAGAAGCTGAGGAAATGGAAACAGAAGATTCACTCTTTGTAACAAGTCAAAGTGACATTCGCCACTCAGCTAGAGAATCAGTCCGCATTAAATGGCAGAGAAGATGGGAAATTGTTGAAACTGGCAGGCATCTCTATGGACTCAAGCCTCAAGTCCAACCCAAAAAAATTAACTTTCATGGCTTGAGCAACCAAAGACAGTTACTTCAACTACAAAGTGGATATTGCCTCAATGATTATTTGAACAAGATTGGGGCTAAAAACACAAGTCTATGTAATTGTGGAGAAGTGGAGACAGTAACACATTTTATAGAGGACTGTACCCTGTACGAGACATCAAGAGAAAACCTGAAGAAAGAAATATTCCTAAAGACAGGAATAAGTGTATTTACAAAAGAACTATTGCTGTCAGACATACAAGAATACCAATTCAAAGACCATAGACAAGAGTTGTCAAATATTGCAAATGAATTTGTCAAATCATCCAAAAGATTTTAATTTTTTTTTTTTTCCCTTTCAGTATAGATTCTATTTCATAATCATTATTAAATTATTGTAACCCTACTTGAGAGTTTTTACCGTAATCGGAAATACCAGAGTTTAGCTGTACATACCGGAGTGACAACATGGCCATTATCAAGGCTTTGAACGAAACAAAACGAGGTCTTGTAAAATATGTCCTAAATATTACTGACTTCAATACATATTATTTATTTTGTCCCTTTGTCTGTAGTTATGCAGTAAGTAATTTTCATTTGATATTATAATATTGCTGTATTAGGTCTACTTGAATCAGTGTAAACTAGTCAAAAGAAGAAAATGAGTTACTGCAAAAAGCTTTTTTGCTCATAATAAATTCCTAACTTATTTAATTCCTTTACATAATGATATCAATGTCATGATAACAAAGACAGGAACAAGTTATTATTATTGCATTTAAATATAATCACAAAATCTGTATATTAAAAAAAAATCAAAAAAATCACGCATCCGAATTTGTTTATCCGAAATCTATTACACTATTGATTATGGAATTGCCGACTTTTTTCACGGTGTAAGTGTTCTAACACCATAGTAAACATCAAATATTAAACAAAACTATATAAAACAAATCATTTTTACTATGGTGGTTAAAAATACAGCAAAATATCGGCAAATACTGACATTGGAATGTTTGGTATGTGAAGAATTTTCGTGTTTTGTAAACAATGGTTCATTTCCAGTTTACTTTTTGCAAGTTTATCATGTTTAATAAATACTTTTTTGCAAGGTGACCATCTTAAATGAATACTTTAAAGTTGATTAAAGATCAGTTTTAATTGTTTAGTTTATTTTTTATTTAAAAACTTTAAAGTCCCAACGGGACATCTGACTTGGAACTTTAGAAATCCCTTGCCAATTTTTGGAGTCCTCGGGACCGCGGGACTGCATTAGTGTCAAACACTGTAATAACTGCCTCCAGGCGGATTAAATTTATACTGGCCAGTTGTTAATTACAGTGTATGACACCTTCGCTCAGGAAGCCACAGGGGGTAAACAATTAATCTTTTAATTGATCAAAATTATTGCTGATAATTGTTTGTTCGAAGGGGCACGTAGATAATGTGTCACCACTGCAATGCTGTTAGAGGATAATCGTTCGTTATTAGCGTTCTAGACTAGTTTATAAAAACAATAGAATAATATAAAAATGTAAAATTTCTTGCTTCAAAGTAGATTATTTTAGATTTTTTTACCGGGACATTAATCATCTCCAGGACACCTCCTGGACAGACACCTTATTTCTGGGACTGTCCCAGACATCCAGGGGACTGTCACGGACATCCGGGACTTTATGGCATGTATGCCTAATATTCCATCCGAGAAGACCCATGTTCGAACTCATCCGAGCATTTACAAGCATCCTGCTCAAGTTTGAAGATAATTGAGTCAAAAATGTGACCACTAGAGTGTTAACAAGATTTTTCTATTTCTAACTCCTGTGACCTAGTTTTTCATCCAAGATGACCCATGTTACAACTCATCCGAGCAATTACCTAGACAAACATCCTGACCAAGTTTGATGATGTTTGAGTAAAAAATGTGACCACTTAATTGTTAACAAGGTTTTTCTATTTTTAGCTCCTGTGACATAGTTTTTCATCCAAGATGACCCATGTTCGAACTCATCTGAGCTATTACCTAGACAAGCAACCCAACAAAGTTTGATGATGATTGAGGCAAAAATGTGACCGCTAGAGTGTTAACAAGATTTTTCTATTTTTAGCTCCTGTGATCTAGTTTTTCATCCGAGATGACCCACGTTCGAACTCATCTGAGCTATTACCTAGATAAGCATCCTGACATAGTTTGATGATGATTGAGGCAAAAATGTGACCACTAGAGTGTTAACAACAAGTGTGGACGGACGACACATGACAGACGACGGACATTCAACGATCCTAAAAGCTCACCCTGAGCTAGCTCAGGTGAACTAAAAAAGAACTCACTTCTATTTTTAAAGAAAATTTATACTTTTGTTATATGTACTTACTTTTGCGTTCAACAACCAATTCTTTTCTTCTAGTTTTCATTTCTTCACTGAATTGTTCCACCATTTTATCTATATAACTATCAAGAACTATTGAGCGCATATGTGTATTAATGGCAGTTCTACATTGGGGGCACTCTTTCTTCACCTTCATCCATTGACTTATACACAAGTAACAAAATGCATGAGAACAGTTCAATGATGTAGCCTGAAATATATATGACTTTGTTTTAGATACATAAGGAATCATAATGGGAACTTTTTGATATATTGTTTCAAGACTATTTTACTTTCCTTTTACAGTTACATATCGAGCACATGTAATCCATTTTTTTCAAGGTTGATCTTATGTATTTAAATGTTGAATGTTTAATTATGAAATCAACTTGTATTATTTGATCTCTGATTGATGTATTGTATTACATAAATTGTTTTGTCGCTTGCCTCATTAAATAAAGTCTTTACTTAATTACTTACTTACTTTTCATGTCTTGCACATGCAACTTTGAATTAAAATAGCCTATATGACAGCACTAGCAAACTAAACTTGTTAATACAAGTGCTTACATCATTGCTTAATTTATAATTTGTTATATTTAGAGAACTAACGTTCAATTCACATTAACAATCATTGAAGACAGGAAATAATTTTATATTAAAAATTGACAACTTCTTCGGAATCCATGACTTATTTCATTTGGAAATTAAACAAACTCTTCGACAAAATCTGTGTCAAAAATCATGTTTTTAATCAAATAAACATGTGCCATGGTTGTATAAATACTACATCATTTCTTCTCTTCACTAATTAGAAGATGCATGAGCTCTGTATAATATCTGTGCTACAATAAACTTCTGTATTTCCCTTAAAAACTCTTTACAGACATTTGCAATTGACAAATAATAAGCATTTATGAAACATCATTTTACCCTAATAAAAAGTTCATTGCATATGCTACATTGGAGCTCTGTTTCCATCAATTCAGCAAAATTAGAGAGCACATCTTCTTTAGCTTTGAGAACTTCTTCTTCTTTCCTATCTTTCTCTTTCTTTGTATCATTTAGCTGACTTTCAAGCAGTTTCTGCTCTGCCTCCTTATTTTCTATCACCTTCAAAAATGTTTCATAAATCAAGAGAATATTATCAATAGTATGTCATTTTGAACATTTTCAATGTATTAAAGAAATATTTCTTTTCAAGCAGATTTGATGTGGATGATTACAATTATGTTACATGCATATTCAATATCAATACAATATAATGCTTGCTCTCATGCTCTTAAAAGTTTTATATTAAAATTATAAATACTACAGTAAACTTCACTTATAAGCAAAGCACTGGTTATAAGTAGAAGTTGGTTTTTGGAACCATTTCCCCTAATTTGTCCCATTTATAGAAATTTTCCCCTTCTTATTTAATATAAAAATGTTACATTGGTTACTAGCTGCAACACATATTTATTGTGCTCTTTTTAAGGAATAATCGGCTTATAATGACACCCACCTGAGTATCAAATTAGTTAAAAAGTACAGAAAATTAAACCCCCGCCTTTATATAAAATCCCATTCCAATAAATATTTCGCTTTGTAAATGACTTTCAATTTCATTGGCAGGAATTAAAGACTCCAATGACCTTTATTTGAATGTACTCAAATAAATCTATTAAAGATTTTGTATCATTTTCTCTTTAGAAAAAATTTTGCATAGCTACCCATTTTCCCAGAATAATTCATATTTCTTTTTTTCAAATGAATTTTGCCAAAATTTACTAAATTATAAGATTTGATAAAATTGGTTTTAAATTTAATTCTGTTGAGCATGATCTTTTTTGCAAATTGTCAAAGTGCTTGATTTAAATGTAAAAAATTAATTATGTTTACATTAGAAAGTGGATCCTTAATTAAAGAAGATTTTATTAAAGAAGAAATTCGAAAATGCTTGTTTATTCTCAATCATGGAAAGAAAACGAAAAGTGTTTAGAAACAAAATATTATATTTTATGAGAAATTGAGATAGGGAGTAAAACTAAAACAGAAAAAGCAATTATTTAAATTCTAAAAAGTACGCGCTCGGGTATTGTGTCTAAAACAGAAATCAATGACTAATATTTCTTAATCAAATGCTCTTCAAAATGGCGGACAATGGTAAACAATCAGTTCGTTATAAGTAAACCTGTTCGCTATAAAAACTCCTGATACAAGGAACTAATTCGCTATACGCTTACAAGGAACCTCGGATATAAGGAACAGATTTTGAATGTCCCAATGAGTTTGTTATAAGCGGAGTTTACTGTACATGAAACAGGGACTGCAGATTATTCCATTTTTTTTCCAGAATCATCATTTTTATTTTCTCAAAAATGAAAAGTGGTGCAAAGCTTTTCACTCAAATTAAGCTAAGTTTTGCATAAAAATTGATTTTTAAATTTAATTCTGTTGACTGTGCATATTTCTTTATTGTTCTTTGCAGATTGTTCTATTTAAAGTGCTTCATTTAATCTATGTAAAAATTTAATTAAATGTTTCTAGGCATTTTGACCTCAGTGGAGCTCTTTTTAAAGGATGTTTATTAAAGGCACAGATACTTCAGTTAAAATGTCTACTTATTGTACATTTAAATATCATTGTTATGAATAAAGACAAAAAACATTTTACAAATTAAATTTTCAAAACTGTCTGCAAAATTTAGTCTTCTTTTCAGAAGAGTGACATTAATTATAATTAATTCTCCAAGTTTTATTTATACCAAAATTGTTTACACAATTGCAGATCATTAATAACAAATAGACACAAACTAAAATAACTTGATTTGTAAATACCTTTTCAAGCCTTTGACGTTGTAGTATTAGTTCTTCTGATAGTTGTTTATCTTTCTCTCGTTCAGACTCCAGCTCCTGTTTTAATTTTTCCTCCACTTCTCTCTTCTCATTCATTAATGCTATAATGTTAAAAATTTACTTCAAGCATGACTGTATTTACATAAATTGTTCAAATATTTCATCTCCCTCAATCAGCTGTACAGAAATTTTCAAAGAACACTGATGTGATTTTATACAAAATTTCAATGATCAGCCTATGTAAAAGAATTAAAAGCACCCAAGTTTACACAGAGGTTAAAAAAAGATTACCCTGTTTTTGTTTTTCAAGGTTTTCAAGAAGAGTAGCTTCTTTCACTTCCAGCTCTTCCTTCATTCTTTCTTGCATCTCCATCTTTTCTCTAGCCAGCTCATCCTGTATATAATTATAAAAGAAAACTTAAAATATCCAGTCTGTAACTTATTCAAGCTTAAAATAATTTACTTTTGTACTTTTATAGCCTATTTAGGATACTTAATCTTTAACATCTACAGTACATTAAAGCTACTATATTATCTATTGTTACAAATCATATTCACGCTATTACATTTATCTACAATTTACAGCCTATTCATACCACTACATTACCTACATTGACAAGGCAACTATTACATTATCTACATTTATAGCCTATTTAGGCTACTACATTATTTACATTTACAGCTTATGCAGGCTAACACATTTACAGCCTATTCAGGCATTTCATTACCTACATTTTCAGTATTCATATGCTGTCACATTACCTACTTTTATAGCATATTCATGCTACCACATTATTTACATTAACAACATATACATTTTACTACATTTACAGCCTAATAAGGGTTATACATTATCCACTGTTACAGACTAATGGAAGAGGTAGCTGTAGGAGAAAGATATATTGCTCAAGGTGGAAGCTCCTATAGTCAAAGTATTTCAATGCACATTCACCTGTTTTTTCTGTAACTCTTCCTTCATTTGTTTCTCCTTTTCTTTCAGATCCTCCATCATTTTGATTTGTTTTTCCCTTCTCAGTTTTTCTTCTTTTAATTCTTGCTCCATTTCATCTTTAGCAGAATCCTTTTCCTGAAATGTTAAAGGGTATACAGCATTTGGAATATTAAATCACATTACTTACAAATCTTGGCACACAAAAAAGGATACTGAAAGATCATTGTAAACTGAATTACCTTCATATAAACAATTTTCATTGTCATAGTCTGAAGAATTTAATGACAAAATTAACACTGTATGTGAAACTATATACATGAATATATTGCTTATAGACATGAATAATCAAATTGTCATTTCCATTATTCTCCCCCACGAGACTGTTCTATAACAAATGATTATTTATACCTGCAGTAATCTCTGCATTTCCTTAAGTTTAGCTTCCATTTCTGCTAGTTTTTCTCCAGCCTGGGCTTCTTGTTCCTCCATTTTCTTCCTGTATTTTTCATATGGAGAATTTTGACCAGCAAATGGTCGCTTATGTTTTGTTGGAGTATCGGTGTGCCCAAAATCTGGCTGTGAACTTGATACAGCACTGTCACACATTGGTTCCCCTGTTCTACTACATGACGCTTTTTCTGCCTAGATAAACATGTACATTTGTAACATTTACATATTTTCCTTTATCTTTATGTGGAAATATAAAAAGGAATTAGACAAAACTAGTAAGTAAGAAAACATGTTGTGTTACTTATTAAAGAATTTACAAAAACTGTGTTGCAGTTTCGAAATCAACCAAAGATCTTTCCATTCATTTTGAACTGTGTGTCCTTAAACACTGAAATTTGCACTTTTTTGATAGCAATACAGAAAATAGAGGTGAGCTATACAAACAAGAGCTGTCAGTATGACAGTGCTCGATAGTAAAACAAGAGCCAGGATAACGTGAAATTAGTTAATGAAGTGTCATAATTCTGTCAAAGTCCATGTCACAGTTATAGGTCTTGCACATTATTATACTCTCAAATTAGTGTGTCAAGTTTCAACCTATTCTCTTCAATAGTTTGGAGATACCAACTTGCACACAAAAACTTAACCAAAGAGTGATGATAACGCCTGGTTGAGTACAATAGCTTTCCTTGAAAGACTCTGAATAGTCAAGCTAAAAATTATAACAAAGAAATTACTTTATTTGCCTCATTGCCTGCTAGTCTTGGTCTTTTTCCGTAAGATTCAGCACCATCTACAGTATCTTCAGCTTTCCTTACTCGTTTGACTTTTAGAGCAGTATAGTATTGAAAGAGGAATTCTGCTGGTGTATCTGGACTAGTCTGTACACCAAACTGTACTATATCACCATCATGCAGTGTTGTACTGGTCATAGGCTCCAACTTCTTACCATTTATAAACAATCCATTCAAACTCTAATAAAGAAACAAACAGATTGTTCTGAAGTGAACTTGTGTTAAAGTAGCATTATGCCCACCTAGGTGTTGATGGCACATGTACAGAAAGAAGTCAAAATAACTTTACATTTTGCTCTAGTTGTTTTCAATTATATATTCTTCTTCATATGTATAATCATTAACAATAACTCCTGTGACTCACTGAAAATTCTATAAATATCCTAAAGAATGTATCATTAATGTATAATTGATAAAAAAGTAAGCAATTTTATATTCTAGGCAGATACATATTTTTATACTTTAACATTGTTCACTTAATTTATCAAATATTGGCCAATGACCATTACAATAGTCAATTTTTAATTAAATTTATAACTAATATTCAGCTGAACAGAACATCAAGATAAAATGAGCAAAACGTCACTTTAAATTTTTACACAGAAACTAATTACATATAAATGTTTCTTTTAACCCTTAAAAGGTTGTCAAATTAATATAATTGAGTATTGTCAGCAAAAATGATATTGCAATATTATAAATTAATTATATGGTAAGAATTTTACACTAGCTGCTACTATAAACTGGGTTGCTGTGTAGAATCTCCTAAATATAGTTATCTAACACACTCAAGTATGCACTTCTGTAAGAGCTGCCAGTGTACAGTTCTTATTTTGATGATACATTTGGTATATATGATCATTTTAAAATGCTTTAATACATGTATTGATTTATTTGAAGTTACATAGCAATTAATAATGCCTGCTATACAATGTAGTAATGTTGATTTCCATTCAATTATGGTAATGATTACACACCTTATACCTGACAATGCAGTAAATTTATTAATGATTTTTTATTCAAAGACAGCAGTTATAAATGCAGTATTACAAATTTGTTATATAAACTTATAATCTTAAACCATCACATAGATTCTTTACCTTATTATCTTTAATTGTCCACTCTCCAGTTTTCTTTTTCTTCAGTATAGCATGGCATCGTGATATCATAGTAGATAAAATACATACTGTCACATCTGGATTTCTACCAATAGTTACCTGCAAAAAATAAAAAAAATAAAAGAAGATAAATAGCAAAGTCTGAAAAATTGAAAATGCTCATAAAAACAGTAATCAATGTTATGATTATTTTATTTTCAGAGCAGAAAAATAACCTTGTAAAAACAGAATTTTAACAGTGATCTTTCAGGTCATAAATCTGTCAAATAGCAAAGATTCCTTCAGCCCATGTCATTTCAGTAGAATAAATAAACCATACATATGACTTTTGAAAAACATCTTTTTTCACAGGTGGATTGCCACCCTGTGATAGATGGGTGAAATTCACCCTGCAGGATAATATGGTCACCATGGATCACTTTGAAATATCAAAGCAACACTTTGCTCATTTGGGCGACTATATTTTAATTCATTGCACACATACAATCGCCAACTATTGATTTTTATTGACATAATATACAGATGAAATTATTGCTGTTCTTAAAGCAATCCATAACTTAAGTGTCACTGATTTTTCCAACAAGACTACATTGTACATGTACGTGAACATTAATATGTGATCTTGAACACGGAAAACCTCTGTGATTTTGTGGGGATTTCTTAAATATTTACCTGTCCACTGTGATTTGTCACTTTGAATGACCATAGTAAGACCCCAGCGATTTTCTGCTCGCTGTTGAAAGCTCCACAGTGACAAAGTGGAAAGTGCAAAAATCGCTTGAGCTGTACTGTATATGCCATATATAGCGATAGTATTTATCCACATAAAGATGTGTTTTTCTAAACCTTAGTCTACCCCCGGCAAGTGACTCCTGGGACAGGGCCAATGTTGACATGAGGGTCATGATCTGAGGAAGATCAAACCTGTGTTCTGCACATTGTCTCATTATAAGTAATATTTAATAAATTTCTTTCTGTCAGTTCAAAAAATAACCAGTGGAGACGAAATTTTGACTTTCTTAATTGTATCAGATCAAAAGATAATGAGTGGACACAAAATATTGACTAAGTGTGACATTGACTAGTTCTGGCTTCCATAACTTTATAAGCCACTATTTAACATTTTTGTTTTTCATCTGATGCTGCATTAAAGTTTTGGATTAGACCCGTTACAAAACCTAACCAGAATAACATAAGTTTATTTAACCTTATTTTTCACTTGCAACTACACTTGTTCCAATCAATTCTTGTGTGCATTTTACGATTAAACAATTATTTTAATATTGTTCTTTACCATTTATTAAAGTATTAAAATATTAATACCGTCATTAAAATTGCCTATTTAACTGTAAAACATCAATTACGCTGATTACAGTCGGCCATGACATTTAGGTGCTATGCGAGACCTCGTATGACGTCATTTGGGGGAACCAATTAGAGTAGAGTCATGTAATATGTTAAGAACATCTTTGTTGAGTAGTTGACATGATTTCAATATTTTTATTCAAGATAATGTTTATATTTATTTTCATTTATTTTTTAGTACTTAAATATGATTATATTGAATACAAAAGACAGTAAATCACCTTTTTCAATATCTTTAAAACAAGTAATCTATAAAAATATTGGAAGCACATGGGTTCGTAAAGGTCAATCTCATAGTCACGTGGTCAAACATTTTGGCAATATGGCAGCCAAGTGCTGAATTTTTTACCTGTAGGAAACTAGGAAACTATTAGGTAGTTTATGTTCGTAGTAAGATTTTTATTTGTCCATCCTTGGCTGATCAACAGATTATATATAGTTTTATCAAGGTATGCTTCACTTTACTTCATGGCATGCTCGATGAATGAATATGAGCATGTCAGATTTCTGGCACGATTATTGGTGGACTTTCCCTACGGGTCTGTCTTCAGCGTTCATGTCATGTCATAGTATATAAATGGTACGCTGAAGACCTTAAGCTAGACATTGACCCGAGGAAGTTCAAACATGCGCTCTGCACATGATCAACAGTCATCGAAATTTAGCACTGGCCTCAGTTGCCCATGGCCAGTGAAAATTAGTTCGGGCCAGTGAAAATTTTAAGAAAATTTAGTTAAATATATAGCAGAATAAATTCAAAACCAGTAAATTCAAAATCTTAAATTCAATGACTGCCACATCGTCATTTCAATTTCCTTCAAACGGTTTAAAACATACAGACCCAACACTAAAACTGCTAAAAGACAGATTGACATACAAAGAGTTTCATAACATTATACTTGTATAATAATATATAAATATTTTGGGCGTATAAAAATGTTTAAATTAATAGCAGCATAGTAAAGATTTGGAAGATAATCTTCAAATAATCTGTTCAAGTTTAGATTTTATAAAAAAATAATTTGCCAAGAAAAACGTTGAATAAGGTGATTTAATACTTATAGAAATGGAATAAGTTAACTGAAGTGTTAATAATACAATTATTAAATTTAAGGGCAGACTTGGTTCGAAATATTACGAGCACTAATCCTGCATACAATGTATTTCTTTTTTAATGCAACTTTGCTATTTACTACGATCTACCTCTTCTTTGCCATCCAATGTGATCAGTTTATACTTTTTCACATTATCACCCAATCTTTTCAAACAGTTGATTTTCTCTGCCATTTTGATACTAAAAACAATATAAAAGGGTAAATGTAAACATCAGTTTCGATCTTGATCAGCGCGTTCCTGGTACTCGATTGGAACCAGTGGTATCTAGTTCGTTCTCAGGTTCTTTCGCACTTTTTTCGAAATGCGTCGTTTCATCCACGCGTATCATAAATATGTAATGTAATGTAATGTTATTGTAATTGTAATGTAATTGTGATGTTATTGTAATGTAATTGTAATGTAATTGTAATGTAATTGTAATAGAATAGAATAGAATTGAATTGAATTGAATTGAATCGAATTGAATTGAATTGAAAATAGAATACAATACAATACATGTATCGTATAAGTACCTAATCTCAAACCCAACCTATTCTCAAACCTTTCATTCATGTGCTGTTATTTTTTTACTAGAAGTGACTATGATGTCCTGAACTTGTGTGCATAAAAGCTTAGTTTCTGACAGACATGTCTGCTGATGTCAAATGAAAACAGTGCATAGTATGGTGGCATATTTCTGCCACCAGATAACCATATAACTAACTAGTCAATTAAGAGGTTAACTAGTTACGTAACTAGTTAACCTCTTAATTAACTAGTTATGTATCAGGTTAACTAGTTACGTAACTAGTTAACCTGATACCTAACTAGTTAGTTATCAGGTTAACTAGTTACGTAACTAGTTAACCTCTTAATTAACTAGTTAGGTATCAGGTTAACTAGTTACGTAACTAGTTAACCTCTTAATTAACTAGTTAGGTATCAGGTTATCTTGTGGCAGAAATATGCCACCATAGCATAGGAACAAATATTTACATAACATATTATACAAATTGCTATTACCTTTGTAAGTCCCATATAGATACACCATTAACTATTTGTGAAAATGAATATAATAGACAAAATATCTTAAAGCAGGTAACTGCATCGTGTAGGGTACTTCATTGGCATGTGATAGTCATATATATAACAATCACTTTGTTGGCTAAACTAAACAGTAGAATTTTAGAGATACTTGAAGGGGTTTGAGATTAGGTTCTTTATTTTAAGAGGCCATGTCAGTTTTAAAACAGAGGGTTGTGCTTTTCCAAGATGGAAATAGAGCTTTTTTAATAGTTGAATTTCAGTCAAATTTTACAGAAATGTTACATAAAGATTAAAGTGTACATATGTAAAGAATTTTTATAAAGATATATTTTTATTTACATTAAAAGACCTCTTGAATGCTTAGAGGTTTGAGAACTGGTTAGTCCACGATACAACACAAAACAATACAATATAAATTGATGTTATTTCTAGTGTCTGTTATACCAGTCTTAAACAGAAAATAACGGGCTTATGAGTGTTTGTAACCCCGAAAGTGTACAAAATCACTGAGCTAAATATTACTCGTTTGGAAGTGGCTAGCCTTTTTGTCTCTGACAAAACTACTAAATTCACGAAAATTCTTTGGCTTCTAACAAGTTTACAGTGTTTTTAAATCAACCAATTTTTGTATAAAAAACACATTTCAAAGTACTCATTTTATGGTGTTGATTTTATAGACGATCTGTTTATGGAAAATATGTAAAAATGTTTTGGTCATTAATGAAATTTGCTCGCTACGCACAATTAAGCCATTATCTATGACTCCTAACTCGAAACTAAATGGCGAAGACCAACACAAGATGCAGTTTATATTACCGCATTACCTTTTTCATGCAAGCTTGCATATAAATTACCAAAGATAAAATTTTGAGAGTAAGGTCATCAGGGAACTACCTGTACATTATTAACTCATACATATTACCACACTTAGATTATTGCTGTACTATCTGGGGCAATTGCAGTAATGATCTGATCAATGAAATCAAAAAATTCCAAAAAAGAGCAGCAAGAATAATTCTAGATAAAAGTTTCGATGCACCCTCCAGTGATTTGTTTAAAGAACTAAATTGGATGAGATTTGATGGCAGAATGATATACAAAAAAGCAATCATAATGTTTAAATCTATCAATGACCTACCATATCCACAATACATGCAAAGTAAATTCCAATTTGTTTACCAAAAACATGAGCGCAACTTAAGATCTACAAATAGTTCAGACCTAGCTGTTCCACGACCTAAGAAAGAATTTTTCAGAAAATCCCTAGTATACTCTGGCCCTAAATTATGGAATAATATCCCTCTTAACATAAGAAAATCTAAAACAGTTCAGGAATTTCAAGCTTCATATCTATCCTGGCATTTTTCATCATTAAATTAATCATTTTATAACAAAATTAGAATCTTATCATTTGAGGTACCAACTTAAACAATTATTTCCCACTTTATGAATGGACTGTAAATTATTAACATGTATTTCTTGTTCTGATAATTTCAATGTACATTGTACTACAGTGTTGTTGCAATTATTTCTGTTATATTGTAGTTGTATATATTGTAAATTATGTTTTTCTTAGAGGCCCACATGGAAGATTGGGAAACCAAATGTGTAGCCTCGATAAATAAAGCCTTTACTTACTTACTTACTTACTTACCTACCTACCTACCTACCGACCCATCCACCCACCCACCTACCTACCTACCTACCTACCTACCTACTTACTTACATTATTGCGACAGTCCTGATCGAAACCCAGGTAGTCCTACCCCTACCAAATGAAGGGCAATACAGTAACCGAAGGGTTTCAATGTCATTTTCTCCAACATGCTTGAAAGAAAGTGCTTGAATTTTGTCTATAAAGATGCCAAGGATGTTTAATGTTTATTTGTTTGGCGGTGTCTACACAGATCACTGCTTTAATTACAGCCGTTTGTGGATTCAAAGAATACGAAATGCTTATTCTAGCAATTTATTTCTTAGACCGTTCACGTCGATCAATACCTATAACACGCTTAATTCACACTATTCCCCAATTAAACAGAAAGGACAAACGAGTACATTATTACATGATATAATCATGCTGTAGCATTTAAAAGGAATGCATACGCGTCATATGACGTCAGATATGTTGTCGATAAACCAAAAGACGTCAGGAAAATTACATCTGTACGCTCAATACAGTACCATTTCTCTTTGTAATAGCATGTTAAGTTTGAATGGAAATAGATTTTACTTTCTCTCATTATAGTATAATATAATGCACGGTCCAAATGCTTGTAATTAATCACTCGATCAGACCTATCAGCCTTCATAATTATATCCCAATGCATTTGAACTGGAACTGTACATTATTCTACAACAATGCGCAAAAAATTGATATCTATTTCCAAAAGGAATTGGTCAGTACACGAAGTAGGCGGAGCTTAATAATTAAGTTTTAAGTGTACTTCATGCACAGAACTGTAATATAAGTATCTGATTCATGTAATGTACATTAAAAAACAAACGCATGCAAGTATCTAGACGCCACAATTAAAAGAATTATGTGACATCAGTTTGTAGTGTGTCGTTTGTATAAAATTATGATATAGAACTTTAACCTACGTGCAAACGTCATTTTGTCGTTTTCACCATCTGCTTTATAATTGTATCATATTGTTCTGTAAGGTATATACTTATTGACGGAAAATCGTTCATTTTCCAAGACATTGCATTCGTGAATGGTTCATATGCATTTTGTGAACTGCTTAGAACTGTACTTATTGCTAAGTTTCAATATTTTATAATAATGTTGTCTTGTTCACATTGCCCAAGTAACTTGTATTGTTATATGTATTTATGTTTTTAGACTCATTGACGAACCTACGCCAGAAGTTACTAATATCTTTTAAGTGTGTGATTTTTCTCATGAAATAAGTGATCCTCGATAACAGTTACAACAAATATAAATAATTAAAAACACAGGCTCAGTTCAATCAAGGTAGATCTAGGTATATTATACATATATAGGTTCTTGGATCAATTGGGTATTATGAAAAAGAATAGAAACTGCAACATATCCACACCCTCTAGTAAAACAGTTTAAAGTGAATTGGGGTATATAATAAATAAATAATTACGTGAATCAGATATAACAACACACCACAGAAGGAATTATATAAGGACGTACGTTGTTGGTAAGTGTGAGATACATTATTCAATATTACATAATTATATTGGTAATTATAGCAGATGATAAAACGTTCTAAAATACAATATTATTATTCATCATAAAAATGTTCAAACTAAATCACTAAGAACTGTATCAACATTTTTTCTTCTTTTCAAGATGTATTTTATTACAATATCCAAATGATACATTTTAATTGTTTTGTCAAAAATTGGAAAAAAAACTTATGGAAAATGTATTCATTACATAGTCAGCCGTTTAAGTATTGTGATGAATTATAAGACCATAAAGCACCAACTTAATATAACAATACTGAAGCATTGTACAGTGCAGCATCTAGCAGCTACCACACACAGGGAATAATACTTTTTGTTGTGATCATAAAAATTCCTGATATTTATCATGTATTTCAAACACTATTTGATAACAATTTAACAAGTAAAAAATCTACTTTCAGAAGTAAAGTTTTTTCTATTTAGGGGCTGTAAAGCAACATCGCGCGAACAATGCCTTTCACAATACATAATTGTTTGGTTGTACATTTGCTCTGACTGTTCCTATCCGGTTCTTTTTTCCAGAACAAAGCTGAATAGAATGTTTCAACAAATAAATAGACAGAATTATCTTCAATATGTTGTAGCTGTTTAATTTAATTATTTATCTGTAATTCATCGAAAAATCTAATGACAAGAATACAGTACAGTTGAGTGCTTATCATAAAATCTATGCTGAATATGCAAAATATACATCTAAAATTGAATAAGTGTACTTATTTATTAACGGGTCATGTTCAGATTATGTGCTCGAATGTTTTAGTATCTAGTCTCAATGTCAAATCTCAATTTTAGCAATACTACCTTGACATTTAATGCGGGAACTGTAATGAAATATGAAAACAAAATGTCATTCTTGTAAAAGTAACGGATTCCAAAGATTATGGAATTAAACTGAAAGAGACTGATATACACTTGAAATCACCTAAACCGCGAGACCGAAACTATCTGGCTAGCTTGGGTATCTCGGTTCGGACACATAATCGCCCATTCTCAATAAAATAAAGCATTTGAGGTTGAAAAACATTAAAAATTTGATGTTGTCATTGTGTCAATTTTTTATCGCTGAAGTAAAGGTTTAGGGTATTTTGCAAGTTTGCCAGAAATATTTTGAACAAGAAACTAAGATATAACAGGATGGCATTTATTTTGGTAATGACACTGTATTTCTTCGGTAACGAAGATTTCAGATCTAATAATGTAACATATTGGCTGCATATTAACAACAAATGTCTTTAAAATATATCAGAATCTGTAAATTCTCTATCTAGAGGGACTTTCTAACCCAGGAAAATTCAAGGAAGTTGGGTACCTTGCTAATTTTCAGTTAATTTCTTCAAAGTGAAATATTCGTAGAAAGCAAAAATAGTCAATTTTGGAAATGATTATTTTATGTCTTCATTCAAAGGATATATATATCATATATAATATATGAGAGGTCGAACGCATACACAAATGTTGTATTAGCAATTTTGTTTCAAAACATTCAACTTTTCACTTTCTTAATATTTGGAAAATTTATTGCTAAGCAGTTCTAAATTTATTCCCATATAGGATGTCACGTATGTTTCATTTTATTCAAATGCAAGTAAAGGTTGAGAAAACAATTTAATTTATTGTAAAATAATGTATATTTATGGATATTATTTTAACATTATTATATATAGAATGAAATACGGTCAGTAAACTCTTTGCAGAAACGAATTCGTTGTTGCTGAGAACATCAATATCTTGTAAAATATTTTTAACATTTCTGCTGGTACATCAACATATTATTAACATATCTTTCCTTTGTAAAAACAATTTTGTATCTTCTTACATCTAATACAAGGTAACCGTTACTAACAGGCATGATAATCCCAACTTTATCTTTAATTTTCAAAAATTGTTGAATTGTAAGTTGGAGTAACGTATGTTTCACACTCGCTTATTTATGAACTTAATCACGGAATTGAAACTTACATGTAAAATCGACTTTTTTATTTAGGAATCAACTGTACATCATTCTATTGTCATAAAAATTCGATTTTATGTTTTTTATATATGCATGTGTAAACAATATAAAGTCTGTTTGATAAAAGTAACGTTTGTTTCACTGTGGTTACTTTTAAAAACAAGTTAAAACTCGACCAAAGTTATCAACATTTACTTACTAATGTCAAATAGAAGTTAATGATGTTGTTATACGTGCTTTCTGACTTCAATTTCCCTTTTGATAAACTTACTTTAAAAAAGTTGATAACGTATGTTTCTGTAACGTATGTTTCATTTTTACATTGAAAGTGGGTTAAAAAATGACGCAAGACTGTTTAACCCGCCATAATTTGTTGTTAATATATCAGAGTTACACACATGTTAATTTTCTTTCTTGTTTGGATTCTTCTTTGAATGGATTGGCTCTTAAATAATGGTAACGTATGTTTCTTTTTAAAATGCTGTTGAAAAGATTTGAATAAAAAATGAAAATTTCCGAAAATATAATGATTTTTGAGAGGCTGCAAGCTTATTTTTACTTATAATTATATATATGCTGTATTATTAAGCATGCATCGATTCAATTATGTAATTTCGGTTCCACTTATTATTGTTTTAGGTTTGTCACTTTTTATTTATATGCATTTGGCGACATTTGATCATCCATTATATCAATGAGATTTTAACAGTCAAATGTAATTTTTACCAATAATCATAGTTCATATACACACAGCAATGACTAATTGCACATGTTTCGTTTATTCTGGAACTTATTTTTCTGAGACACAATTTCAAAGTTGAAAATTCTGGGTGGCGACAGTAACGTGTGTTACATTTTAGGGCATTAATGGTGCTTGTAAAAGAAAAATAACAGATAGAAATGTAAAACTGAGAGTGTCCCTATTACACAAAGTGGCAGTCACCTTTCTAACGACATTTTGACCTCAAGAAAACCTTCGTATAAGAGCTACCAAGCGGAACATCAAATGCTGTGTCTTATTGAAAATGAGCGAATATGTAATATGAAAATAATTAGCTTTCAGCAGAAGTGTCCATAATCATAATATAATTGTGCGGACCCATTATCATATATAATTAACTTCATATGTATACATGTATTAATTAATATAAAATGTTCTTTCCATTTTTCTAAAATAAGATAACTGGCCTACAGGTTTTGGCAGCTAACTGCTCAATATCTTTTTCTCTGAAAAATAATTTTAAAGTTATTGTCAGTCTGAGCTTCATTGTAGTATTTGAGTTTGTACCTTAATCAGAGGAGCTCTCTGTCTCACTTCATCATACACTGATATCAATTGTTAAATAAGTATATACTTGAGTCGTCACATCTTCCTATAGCTTCCTCGTATATGAAACGTTTCTTCACTTTAAAATATATAAAGAGATGTAAACATACTGACTTTTCAAACAGAGTAAGGAAATTTTAAATAGTCTGACATACCGCAAGCCTTCAATAACATCACGGACTTTCCGTGTTAATTCAAAAGGCTATGCTGTACAATTCCGTTATTTGATTCTCATTACGCTTTTTCTTTTATGCCTTTCACGCATGCGCAAAAATTTGACTTCCTTTTCCGGGTGCTATAGAAAAATTGCACAAGCACGTGTAAGTTTTGCTATCATTTTGTCTATTATTGCATACATGTCAGGTAATATATATCATGTGACCATGTCATATTAAAGTCCAAACCCTATAGAAGACAATTCAGTTAACTGTTCGTTATTGGAGACTTGTATTTTTAGCAGAGGGTTCGTAATTTTGTGTTCATGCTGGTTTTCAGTTTTAATTTAGAATGATTATTTTCACGTAATCAAGCAAAGATAAAAGTCTGATTAAAGTTTAAAATAGGTCAATGTTCTCTACATGTTCTGAATTGATTTGTATTTTATTATATGTGAACTCTTTTACAGGATTTAGGTAGGAATCTTAAAAGGTTTTAATTCACGAATTCGAAAACCTAGGTAAACGGGTCAGATTTTGTTAAAATCATGGGGATTTTGCCGTGTAGTTAGTGTAACTTAGTCTGAATGACCCTCAGTATTTCATGGCTAGTGAATAGTCCTATAATTATGATGTTGCTTTGAACATTTTTGCTTCTGGGCAAAGCAATGTCATATCGAAATTGCTCAAAAACCCATTGCATGTTCTGCCAGAAAATTGGACTGAACGAAAAACAATTAAGACAGCATGTATTTTCATTAGTTTTGACCTATTTATGAACAAAACTATAAAAAAAATACCTTTTGTCAAAATAATTAAACTGTCACATCCGAAAAATCATGATTAAATCCTCTCGTGTATTTAAATTCCTTTTACAGCCGATAAACAAATGGCGGCCATACAGTGCGCGAAATCTGATTGGCTAATTCAAATGCAAGCGTTTAACTGAGTCAGAACATTCTAACGAAATTTTTTTTTAACGAAATAATTGCCCATGCACTGTCAGTGTGTTCGAATATATTTTTCCGTTCAAAAATTTGGAATCAATCTGTAAAGCACCTTGCTTAACCAGTATGGCTGATAGACAAAAATGGATGATGTTTATAATTTATTTTAAATTGATTAGTACATTGTTTGAGAGTTTTTGTGTATGACTTAGCATGAAATTGAAAGAAAAGAAGATGAGCTTTTGAATAAAGCTTGAAAGGCAAGACAATTTAGACTTTTTTGAATTTTTTATGATGCTATGCATATTTGAGCAATATCTATTAGAAGTCGGGCTTGACCGACATAAAACTATAACAAGCCTGTAACATCTAATATATTGGATTAGGCTAGTGAACACCCTTTATAATGAAAAAAATAATGACGGTATACCATCAAGTCTCAATAAAGTAAAGATTGCAGTTACATTATTACAGAGCAATAACTAAACAATGAAAAATAAGGTATTAGGTAAAGGGTCAACTTGGCACGGGTCAACTCGGCACAGGTCAACACGGCCCTCTATTAAAAACATATTAGGATATAGATAGTTTAGATTTAGATACATTTTGCAAAAAGTCTGGAGTAACAAATTAATATAAATTGTAAATTCTTTCTTTCTCTACAAATTCACATACAAATGGGTATTTTTCATCAATAAAACTTTTCAATATCCTTGAGTAGTGAAAATGTTAAACCATGAAAGATATGATTAAAACATATCAAAAGTAATAAAAGTAATCATTACAAGTAATATATAATTATTGGCCGAGTTGACCCGTGCCAAGTCGGAATAGGGCCCAGCTGACTCGAGGGCCGAGTCTGTTTTAGGGCCAAGCTGACCCTGATTCGAAAAATAACTTCGAAATATTTGCTTTAATGCATCTAGTTCATTGATCCATGATACTTGAAGTATGTATTTTAACATCAGTTTCTACTTAAGATTCTTGTTTATCAGCTCACTTGTCTTTATTGTATTTTAAATGAAGATATTACATAGATTTAAAACCACTTTTATAAAACTCAATTATGTGGCCTGTTAGTCTTGTAGCAGATTTGGTTTTGGGCCAAAATGCTGTTTGCCTCTTGCAGACTTCTGTAGCTAAAATTTCTACACACATGTTATTTCTTTCTTGCAGAAGACAATGCAGTTGTTCATTCGTGGTACACAGACCCATGTGGTCCAAGTGAATGGAGCAGAAACAGTTGAAGATGTTAAGGTTTGTGCATTTCCTGCATTCTTTCCCCTCCCAAACAATTTTTTTACTTCTGTTTATTAACAATAAGACACTAAACTTGAATGACTGGGAGAATTTTTACTAGATTTAAGGGAAGGTGACCTATCTGGGGGAAAATGCAGTTTTTCACTCTTACAGGGGAAATATTTATTTGCACATTTTCATTTAAGATCTACAGTCTACAATTTTAAATAACTGGTCAAAGTTACTTTTTACGAAAATCAATCCCTTGTATATTTTTATACACATATATATTTTTTTTTCTTTTTGTTAGGCTCTCATAGCTGACAAGGAAGGTTACTCTGTTGAGGACCAGGTTATCTTGTATGGAGGCAAGCCCTTGGACTCTGGCCTTCTGGCAAATCTTTGTGAAGATTTGACCACTCTTGAGGTCAACATTAAAATGCTGGGAGGTAAGAAAAGTTTTATAATAATTTATTTGATGTATTTAATTCTATTTAATTTTAAGATTTCTTCTCCATAAATTTTATAGTTTAATGTTCAGTAATGCACCAGTCAAATGAAACTAAGGCAATCTAGGAGAATCGGTAAGGTTGGGTTTGGATTTTCTAACTCCTGGTAAAGGTTTTGTCCTAGGAGAAAGTCGGAAAGTAAAATTCACTATAAGTGTCCAAAAATCTTAATGAAAACAGCATTAACATTGTGAATAATGGCTGTTTAAAGTAATTTTGCAGTTCTATTCTTCATTTGTGTTCGTTCAAATTAATGTGAAATATATGAATGGTGGTTCATGAAATGTTTCATATTAGTTGCATATATTTAATTAATTTTCTATTAGGAAATTAAAAGAGCTGATTACTCAGTTTTCCTACAGTTAAAGGGACTTCCTTGAGATTATTTTGACATGATGGTGGTGGAAATAATTTTAAAGGTTAATTTTTGTTTCATTTGATGAGGGTCTAGACCAGTAACTTGTTTGCAAAATTTCAAATAAATCGCTCGCTCCATTTTTCCAAAAAAATATTTCAATTGTGAAAAATTACTCAAAACTGAAAAGCAAAGCTTTTCACTTAAATTGAGCTAAGTATAACACAAAAATACGGTTTTTAATTTAGTACATGTTTTATATCATTCTGTTTCTAAGTGACCTAGCTTAACTATGAAAGAAATTCAAATCTTATGTACCTCATTGCAGTTCCTTTATTTATGACATGTCATAATTTGATTTTTAATCAAATTTAAAAAGGCTTGTATACAACAGGACTGGTGGTCTATGATGTAAAGCTTGAGACCATCAAGAAAATCCCATTATTACTGATATGTTTTTCCATTTGTATGGAATTAGAAACATCTGGTTATTGTGCAAAACTTCTTTAGTACATGTACTTTGTTACTGTTAAATTTTGCGTAGAAGAATTTGCTTGAACATTAAATATAAAGTGTTTGTCCTGTGGCAAATTCATATAATGTACTTATTGTCTTATATTTTAAGAATTCTGTCTGTAAAGGTCACCAGTTATGTATGTATAGTAAGCTGTTAGGTATTTAAGGAGTGCAGTGCTTTAAACGTAATTAAATATTGTATGAGAAATTATTCTGATTACTTGTATTTTGTTTCTAGGTAAAGTGCACGGATCTCTGGCTCGTGCTGGTAAAGTAAAGGGACAGACACCAAAGGTAATAATTTCTATTTGCAGAAACCTTTTCATTGTTGATGCAAGAAAATATCTCACATCAATGTATTTAAAATATATGAAGAAATGATGTAGCCTCCTGTATACTATAGCCTAGTTTGTAAATATGTATATAGTTTATCAATATTGCATAAAACCTTGATATGGGGTGTCCACGGTCGAGTGGTTAAGGTCGTTGACTTCAAACCACTTGCCCCTCACCGCTGTGGGTTAGAATCCTGACAGGGACTTTGGATTCTTTCATGTGAGGAAGCTATCCAGCTAGCTTATGGAACGACTGTGGTTCTACTCATGTGCCGGTTTGTGCCTGAAATAATGCACAGAAGGGCACCTGAGGTCTTCCTCCACCAGTTAAATTGGAACGTCTCCATATGACCTATACTGTGTCGGTGTGACGTAAAACCCAATGAAACAAACACAACCCTTGATGATATTAGAATATTTAACTTGATTGAACACAAAGGCTGGTGTTTATATGTCTCATAGAATGAGGAAACAATAAAATCGTTTTTATCCCCCGCCGAAAAATTTCAGCGGAGGATATAGTAATAGTCTCCGTCCGACATTTTTGTCCGGAGCATATCTCTAAAAGTATTTGAGTTATCAACTTGAAACTTCATAGGTGGATAGACCTCATTGAGGAGGAGTGCAGTGCACAAGAATGATAACTACCTTTCATAATTTTTGAGTTATTGCCCTTTGTTATTTTTCATACCTAATTTTTCCCCTGAGTGGAGCATAACTCAAAAAGTGTTTGAGATATCAACATGAAATGTCATAGGTGCATAGATCTCACTCAGGAGGTGTGCAGTGCACAAGAATGATAACTCTACCTTTCATAATTTTTGAGTTATTGCCCTTTGTTATTTTTCATACCTAATTTTTCACCTGAGTGGAGCATAATTCAAAAAGTGTTTGAGATATCAACATGAAATGTCATAGGTTGATAGATCTTATTGAGGAGGAATGTTGTGCGCAAGAATGATAACTCTTCCCTATACAATTTTTGAGTTATTGCCCTTTGTTTTTTTTGTTCATGCTATTTTGTTCAGAGCTTACCTCAAAAAGTATTTAAGGTATCAACTTGAAACTTCAGGTGGATGGATCTCATTGAGGAGGAGTGCATTGCACAAGAATGATAACTCTACCCTGCATGATTTTTGAGTTATTGCCCTTTGTTATTTTTCAAAATTAATTTTTGTCCAGAGCATAACTCATAAAGCCTTTGAGATATCAAAATGAAACTTCATAGGTGCATAGATCTCACTCAGGAGGTGTGCACTGCACAAGAATGATAACTCTACCTTTTATAATTTTTGAGTTATTGCCCTTTGTTCTTTTTCATACTTAATTTTTCAATTCATTTTTTTTCTCAAAAAGTATTTTAGGTATCAACTTGAAACTTCATAGGTGGATAGATTTTACAGAGGAGGGATGCAGCACACAAGAATGATAACCTACCCTGCATTATTTTTCAGTAATTGACCTTTGTTATTTTCAGCCATCAGTATTCACATAGGTTTCAAATCTGTAATCACTATAGCCATCAGTTTTCATTACCAAAAGACCTCTTAAAATGGAATTATTCCGCTCTACTACATAGACATTCTTCCAATGAGCAAACACATGCGGCGGGGGATGGCCATGTTCACATGGCTCTTGTTACATGTTAAAATATATTAACTTGGTCCATTGTTTTTTCAGGTTGATAAGCAAGAGAAGAAGAAAAAGAAGACTGGGCGAGCTAAGAGACGTATGCAGTACAACAGACGTTACGTCAATGTAGTACAAGGCTTTGGCAGAAGGAAGGGACCTAATGCTAACTCATAAATTACAAACTTGTACATAACATTAAATAAAATAAATGTGAAACAAGAGCTGTGTCTGTGCTGGATCATTTACTTCTTTAGGTTAAAAATGGTGTTCCTGCTTTAAGCTATTTGAATAAGGATAGTTTGCATTCTTGAACTACTTGCCCATGTTGGAATGAGCTCAAGTCTTTTGTTTCATTTCAAGCAAAAAATCTAGTTTACTTTGTGACAAAAGCACTAGAAATAGTGATTTTTGCTAAAAAGCTGATACATGTATTTGGGGTCACTGATAAATCATCCAGATATATGATTGAAATTTGTCCCCTGTGGCTGAAGGGATGCCTTTAAAACAGACTGCCTCCAGATTCATGTTTTCATGAAAATTTTAAAAATGTATTTGAAAGTATTTTTGTAAAGTGAACAAAAAATTATTTACGCATTGCAAACAGCACTTACATGTACCAAAAAGAGGACAAAATAGCAAATATAATCTAAAGAGAAATATGGTGATAAATGCTGCAAAAACAGTCGTTAATAGCACATACCATTTAAATTATTACTGGAATTGTAAAAATCTTTTTTTCTTAAAAAATTTTAGTACATTTTTCTCAAGTTCAATTTTCTTGATATATTTTGGCTTATCTGAAGGCATGCAGCTTTAATGGTTGAAGCGTATCAATTGCAGTCATTGTTTATGAACTTTATCCCCGTGTGATGTAAGAGGTTCCTTAGTTGATTTTAGACTTCTATGCAGAATAGAATATGTCCATGAAGGATTTATTATTAATACTTGTGTGTTTAAATGATAATGACAGTCATCGAATTTAGTACTGGCCCGGTGGCCCATGACCAGTGTAAATTAGTTCGGGCCAGTGTAAATTTTAAGAAAATTTAGTTAAATATATAGTAGAATAAATTCAAATCTGGAATTCGGGCCAATAAATTCAAAATCTTAAATTCATTGACTGTAATGATTAATATATTCATGCTTTTTAGAGTTGTCATTTGGATTTACGAAATACTTCAATTGGTTGTAAATATGGCAGTTCTAAACCTGAAAGTCTTTGAAACTAGAAGAAAAGTTTCCAATGGCAGACTGAGAAAACCCTGTGTTCTTCAGTTTTAAGATATATTTTAGCCTTTTACCTGCTGGTCGCAACTAATTCTGTGGCTGCAACCAGTGCAGACACTAACATTAATTTTTAGCTCAACTTTTTTAGGTAAATTAGAGGTATTGTGACAGTTGTGTCCCAGTTGCCATCTTGATCATAAATTAATTTCTTGGTGTATTATCTTCATACTTGGCCACAACAATCTTTGGGACAAGACCTTCAAGTAGATTAGACTAACCTTGACCTTTAAAGTCAAATGTCTAAATTGCTTGTTTTTTGCTGGTCTTTGTTACTAGGGGCTATTACTTTGTTATTTTTGAATGAATTGTCTTAAAACTTGAAATAATAGTCCTCCCTTCAAGTTAGCCAGACAGACCTTGACCTTTACTCATAAATGACCTTGACCTTGAAGGTCGTAGTGATTTTTTTTTGCTGTAACTGGCTCTAACTTTGTTATTATTGAATGGATTGACTTTGTTATAACAAAACATTCTGTAGGGTAAGACCTTTATGTATATCAAACTTAAATTATTCTTTGCTCTTTAATGACCTTGACCTTAAATTATTGAAGTTTTACCGATTGTATCGACTGCAACTTGGTTATTAATGAATTGATTATCTTCATACTTTGACAAAACATTTTGGAGATGACCTTGAAGGTTGAACTGATCTTGACCTTGAGGTATAATGATAGATACTTTTAGATAGAAATGAAAAATCCTGCAAATCGTGCTGAGCTTGAAACCCTGCTGGGTATGATTACATACTTGACAAAATTCTCACAAAATCTCTCGGAAATAACTAGCCCGATGCGAGAGTTATTACGCAATGACGTAGAGTTCAGATGGGATTCAGCCCAATCTGACGCTTTTGGCAAGGTTAAACAAGTGATTACACAAGCACCTGTCCTCAGTTACTATGATTCATCGAAGCCTGTTAGATTACAATTGGATGCTTCGTCCAAAGGGCTTGGTGTTTGATGTTTACAAAATGGTAAACCAATTGCATACGCTTCAAAAACACTGACATTGACCGAGAAAGGATATGCACAAATAGAAAAAGAGATGCTGGCAATATTATTTGGATGCACTAGATTTAAGCATTATTTTTACGGACGGCGCACGGTTGTCGAATCTGACTGTAAACCGATAGTATCTATAATGAGAAAACCTCTTTATAGTGCCCCGCCTAGGTTACAACGGATGTTATTACAACTTCAAGATTTTGACCTCGATGTTATTCACTGTAGAGGTAAAGATATTTCGCTTGGAGATGCTCTCAGCCGGAATTACGTAACTGACACTTTTCATAATCTGATTGACGGATTAGAAACACATGTACACACTGTACTGAAATCATTACCGATAAGTGATTTAAAATTGCAGCAAATTCAAACAGCAACGCAAAATGATGCTCAGTTACAAACGCTTATTAGTGTCATTTCTAACGGATGGCCTGACGACAGACGAAATTGCCCTACGACTGTATCAGAATACTGGAATCATAGAGACGAATTGGCTTTTGAAGACAATATTGTGTTCAAGGGTCAAAAAATTGTAATACCAAAATCATTAAGACAGGACATGACTAACGCAGTACATGTGGGTCATTTTGGTGTAGAAAAAACGACAAGACGGGCTAGGGATATAATGTTTTGGCCATCAATGTCAAAACAAATTACAGATTATGTACTTAAGTGCCAGATTTGTTGTAAATATAGAGACTCAAATAAAAAAGAACCATTACATCCTCATGATATACCCCAAAGACCATGGCAATATTTATCATGTGATTTATTTACGTGGAATGGTCAAGATTTTATGGTTCTTGTTGACGCTTACAGTCGATATTTCGAGTTCGACCTATTGACTAGCACTTCTAGTACTTGTATTTTAAGAAAACTTAAGGTACATCTCAGCAGATTTGGTATCTGTGAGAAGTTAAAAACTGACAATGGGACATGCTTTACTAGCGAACAATTTCAGAACTTCCTTAAACAATGGAACATTAAACACGAAACTTCAAGTCCCACGCATGCAAGTTCAAATGGACTTAGTGAAGTATATGTTAAAATTGCAAAACGCATTCTTCAGAAAGCTAAGGATGATAATAAAGATCCTTATTTGCCCCTTTTAGAATATAGGAATACACCACTTAAACGTGGATGGTCAAAATTTTCATTTCTTAGTTTTGAATTTTTCATTCATTATTCTGTAAATGTCCTCAAAATGACTACAATAAACAGTCAAAGGAACAAAACTTTTCTCCATATAAAGAATAAAATGATGTTTTCCTAACTTGACCCGCGTGGGTCAGGTTAGAGCGCTAAGATTTCACAATAGATGTCACTGTGTACTCTGGAAACGTTAAAGAACATGTCAAATAAATTACTTAGACTTGTTTACATCATACCACTATCCACAATACCTGTTATTTAACTTACAGGGTTTGTTCAAATCACATGACTTGTTTTTAAACTACTCGCTGATTATGTTGGCGTCTAAATTTCGTTCAACATATATAGAAATATTTAAGCTTCAACCCCAAAATATATAGAATTTATACAGAAATTCATGCTGGGACTTTAAGAAATGTCATTTTAGTGTGATTTCAGTACACAAAATCCTTTTTATATTTTTGTCATTATTTTGCCTGAGTATCCCTTTAATGGGCAGACGCCTCAAGTCGCTTCTCCCAACAACTAACAATCAGCTTCTGCCACAAACAGTAAATCATTGTGAAGCAAGAAAGAAAATGGAAGAATTACAATTTATTAGCAAGAATCATTACGATAAAAATGCGCACAAAATGAAACCTCTAAAAATCGGTGAATCTGTCAGAATTCGAAAAGATAAGTACTGGGAACCAGCCAAGGTTATAACCCAGCATAATGAACATTCATTTCACGTGCAGACCCCTGACGGTGCTGTTTATCGTAGAAATCGCCGTTTCCTAAACAAAGCTCCTGAATTATCTGACCTGTCAAAACAAACACAGCAACCATCTAAAGTCGATGAACACCAGGAATCTATTTTAAGTGAACAAACAATTCAAAATACCCCTACAGAATCCCTATCTCTTGCAAATGTGCCAGATAAATCGAAACCATTCACAATCACTAGGTCAGGTAGAGAGGTGAAACCGAATAAGCTTTACTGTGGAAAAGATTGGACAAAGTGATAACAATTGTTGAATTGTTGAAATAGCCATTAGTAAAACTGTAAATCAGTGACATTTAGAAAGGATTAAAAAGTTTGCTTGTAATTATATTAATAATACATGTATATTTCAATGTCATAATTAAAAGATCATTAATTATATTTGATATACTTAAATAATTGTTTTTTACAGATTAATTTGAAATATACTAAATGTGCTTATATTTTTAAACAAGGGGAATGTTGTATATTGTAAACATATGTTTCATCTTAATAATATCTTATACTGTAATGCGCATGTCCATTATCTTCCCGCCACTTATATACTTGGAATATTCAGTTATCATTAAACGATAGAACTAGTAACACGTGTCTGTGTTATATATTACAAGTGCACGCTCTGTGTACATATTAATAAATATACTCATAATACAACACATGCATTCTTCAAAAATTCATTTCAAATCAAGCAGTTACATAAACGAGACAAAATCTAAGTGTCAGTTCGGCAGTACGTATAAAAAGTCTCATTTTAAATCACTTTCACCTGTGCGTTGTCAAAACGTGACCTTGTTTTATCTGGGGGATTCCGTCCTTGCGCGCATGCGCAAACATACTTACACGTTAGGCATGTTTAAGGGGTTTCCACTAATACCACCTGTTTACAGATAAGAAGGCAATGTGATGAAAACTTGTTTAATTATCAGAATTTTGACCAATATTACTATATAAAATAATTTTATGGCTTTGATGCTTAAAATATCATGTATACAAGCATGCCATCGCATGTGAATGCGTTGGGGGTAACGGTAACGGGTAATAGATACACTCGTTTAGTCTACTTTCTATTTCCTGAATTAAATCTATTTATTTGAGAAATGATCAATCGTTAAATTTTCATCAAGTTAGGGTCATTTTAACTGTAAACGTCTGTTTGTAGTAGAGAAACGCTTCTAGAAGAAACAGAATCTCTCACAGGCTGGCGTCATAAAAATGATTTCACAAGCGTTACATGGCCAAGCTTGGTCCCATGCGAACTGCTTCAAGTGGCGAGAAAGGCAAGAGAATCTGTATGTTGAAGAGGAAACTGTTTTTTTTAAGTTTAAGACAATGATTTCCATCAGATGGCTAGGTCTGTCTGGTCCGACATGCCAACCGAGACTTTCACAGAGGAACTTAATACTTTTTTGTCCTATAATCGAAAAAAGTTATTTTACGAACTAATATAATCAACTTTTGAAATTCATAAGACTTTCTATTTCTCTTAAACGACAAAAGACTATATGCTCCATTAGTCGAAACGTCAACATAGAGGTGAGTATATGCTCCATATGGTATACATGATTGTATAAATAAATCCATTGTATACACACCAGTCTCTCAAATGTGTCAGTAAGACCGGTGTACACAATGTAAATAAATCATCTATTGTCCAACAACATAGTCATTGACCTGGTATTTCATTAACTTTCGTAAAGGTCATATGAATAAACACTGACCAGTATCTATATTATATATCGATATTTTAGCTAACTTTTCTCGTCAGTGAGGTATGGTGTATTGGTATAGATGTCGGACTACTGATCTGGAGGTCTCTGTCTCGTTTTTTTTACCAACACCACGTTATGATTATTTTTTTAGCTCACCTGTCACAAAGTGACAGGGTGTGCTTTTGTGATCGCTTTTCGTCCGGCGTCCGTCCGTCGTCCGTCCGTCCGTCGTCCGTCCGTAAACTTTTACTTTAAATGACATCTCCTCATAAACCACTAAGCCAATTTCATCCAAACTTCACAGGAATGTTCCTTTGGTGGTCACCTTTAAAAATTGTTCAAAGAATTTAATTCCATGCAGAACTCTGGTTGCCATGACAACCGAAAGAAGAAACTTTAAATATCTTCTTTTAAAAAACCATAAGAGCTAGAGCTTAGATATTTGGCACGAAACATCTTCTAGTGAGTGTCTACCAAGTTTGTTCAAATAAAAGCCCTGGGGTCAAAATTGGCCCCGCCCCAGGCGGTCATTGATTTTCCCTATATGCATATAGTAAAAACTTAAAAAATCTTCTTTTAAAGAACCCAAAGAGCTAGAGCTAAGATATTTAGCATGAAACATGTTCTAATGGGTGTCTACCAAGTTTGTTCAAATAAAAGCCCTGGGGTCAAAATCACATGACTTGTTTTTAAACTACTCGCTGATTATGTTGGCGTCTAAATTTCGTTCAACATATATAGAAATATTTAAGCTTCAACCCCAAAATATATAGAATTTATACAGAAATTCATGCTGGGACTTTAAGAAATGTCATTTTAGTGTGATTTTAGTACACAAAATCCTTTTTATATTTTTGTCATTATTTTGCCTGAGTATCCCTTTAATGGGCAGACGCCTCAAGTCGCTTCTCCCAACAACTAACAATCAGCTTCTGCCACAAACAGTAAATCATTGTGAAGCAAGAAAGAAAATGGAAGAATTACAATTTATTAGCAAGAATCATTACGATAAAAATGCGCACAAAATGAAACCTCTAAAAATCGGTGAATCTGTCAGAATTCGAAAAGATAAGTACTGGGAACCAGCCAAGGTTATAACCCAGCATAATGAACATTCATTTCACGTGCAGACCCCTGACGGTGCTGTTTATCGTAGAAATCGCCGTTTCCTAAACAAAGCTCCTGAATTATCTGACCTGTCAAAACAAACACAGCAACCATCTAAAGTCGATGAACACCAGGAATCTATTTTCCCTATATGCATATATAGTAAAAACTTAAAAAATCTTCTTTTAAAGAACCAAAAGAGTTAGAGCTAAGATATTTAGCATGAAACATGTTCTAATAAGTGTCTACCAAGTTTGTTCAAATAAAAGCCCTGGGGTCAAAATTGGCCCCGCCCCGGGGGTCATTGTTTTTCCCTATATGCATATAGTAAAAACTTAAAAAATAAATTTTCTTTTAAAGAGCTCAAAGAGCTATGGCTAAGATATTTAGCATCAAACATGTTCTAATAGGTGTCTACCAAGTTTGTTCAAATAAAAGCCCTGGGGTCAAAATTGGCACCGCCCCGGGGGTCATTGATTTTCCTTATATGTGTTTGGCAAAAACTTAAAAAATCTTCTTTGAAAAAACCCAAATAGCTAGAGTTAAGATATTAAGCATGAAACATCTTTTAGTGAGTGTCTACAAAGTTTGTTCAAATAAAAGACCTGGGGTCAAAATTGGCCCAGCCCCGGGGGATAATTGATTTTCCTTATATGTGTATAGCAAAAACTTAAAAATCTTCTTTGAAAAAACCCAAATAGCTAGAGTTTAGATATTAAGCATGAAACATCTTCTAGTAAGTGTCTACAAAGTTTGTTCAAATAAAAGCCCTGGGGTCAAAACTGGACCGGCCCCAGGGGTGTCATTGTTTTTAACTGTATGTGTATAGTAAAAACTTAAAAAAAATCTTCTTTTAAAAGCCCAATGAGCTAAAGCTTAGATGTTTAGCATAAAACATCTTCTTATGGGTGTCTACCAAGTTTGTGCAAATAAAAGCCCTTGGGTTAAATTGGCCCTGCAACGTGGGGGTGGGGGGGGGGGGGTTGGGGGGCCTATATACAGGTGAGCGACCTCAGGGCCATCATGGCCCTCTTGTTTAATTTACTTGCAAGAATTAATTAAAAATCGTTTTTCTACACGTACCTGGTTTTAGAAAACATTTTAAGTGATGTTTTTATACACAATTTATTTTTTTATTTTATTTTAACAGTATCTTTCAACGGTTCTCTTTGTTGCATTGTGCAATCGTACATGCTTTAGCGCGTACATGCTATAAAGACAGTTATTAATAATACTTAACAGATGGTAAACCGAAAAGGTTTGCAAAAGTTTTAATAGAATGGAAATTTTAAAATTAAAATAAAATAAAAGAGAAAAAAATCGTTAAATAAGTATCGAACCTACCAGTTTACGTCAACATTCTTCAAGTGAAAGCCCTTTACCAACTGCGCTAAGACGGATTTTTAATTTACACTTTATTGAGAATTGGATATAAATTTACATTCATATCAATTTATAAGTAGATCGTAACGTTTACGGAATATACCGACTACAGGGTCAAATGCAAGAGTGCCAGGTCAATGTTGTTGGACAATACCTATCTTCCCGCGCTTTAAAACCGACAGTGATTTTTCTCACTTAACTGGGAAGAGGCCTTAGCCTTTTAATTTTGGGGAAAAATATCTATAAAATTGCTGATTTGGGAAGTAAAAAAGCTGGTTTAAGTTCTGATTTTCGGGAAAACTGCATGATTTTAAAGAAAATTTCAATTGGGAAGAGGCCTTTTCTCGGAGTCTGTTATATAAGTAGAACAATCACTGACCGATGGCTATAGACCCAAGGTATGCTTAAGGTAATAAAAGTTGAGCATTTCAATTTATGATGCCACTCAACATTTCTATTTAACCCTAAATACATATATAAAATCAACAAAATTATTATCTAACACCAGTAAATATTTTACGTCTCTCAGTACTGATCACGGGAAACAACCGTTGCTGATACACTATACCTAGGGTTAGGGTTCTTCCCCTGACCAGTTAAGTACAAAAAATGTATTGTAATCCGAATTTATGAGAGATTAAAATATAACACGGCTTTTGTAAATCATTAAGTTAGTTTTCTTTTTAATAGGGTTAGATGACGTACGGTGGCACAGAGGTGACGTGTTTTCATTTATCTCGTGCGCACGAGATACTATGTCGATATGTGCGGCTCTAGAGGGGTAGGGTTATAAGGTAATTATCACAGCTGATATTTAGCTGGTATAATTATGCTATATAGTTTGTCTAAGCCCTGTGAACATTCGATATCAACTTAGAAATAACGCAAGTATTAGTAGTAGTGAGATATCATGCAAAAAAAAAAATTCCTGACTCCCTCTTGAAATTTAGAAAAATGCCAAACCACCATCTTGAATATGCATTACAGTACTGCTGGTCGAAATTTAAAAAAGTTTTGACACATACGGTGCGCCGTAGATGCG